CTCTTATCAATACATTCTTTATCTCTCTTGACAGATAATTGGTCAAAACAGTAACCTTTTGAAATTACAAAATATTTTAAAACAGAACAAAATACTTAAAATTATTCTTAAAACTGATATTATCTAGAAACAATATTTATTAAAAACAAAATAAAAAACATTGATAAAGCATAACAAACATAGCATTTGGAAACAAGCAAAATATATTTCTGTCAACCACACTAACATCACTTTCATTAACTTTTTTCTGTTCCATTACTTAATTCCGCGCACATTTAAGTAATTTACAGAACATAAAATGCTTTCTAGAATCAGAGTAAATAAACAAAAAAAAGACCACTTATTTTTGTCTACTTTTCAAATATTTACACAGACAAAATGTATTGCTAAGGCGTTGTTATGGATATTTTTAATGTAGCCATATTCTAAAACCCTAATTTTTCATCTTTATACTTTAAAAGACCCATCAAATAATATATCATTGGAAAGAGTATAGAATAGCATTTAAAAAGTGAATTTATTCACAATTTTGATTTTTTTTTTCAAAATCATGTTTTTTTTCGAGGGCAACCACCTTAATAAACATAAAAAAAAAAAAAAATACATAAAATAAATTCTCAAAAATTTTCAAGTTGATTCCTCTCCTTCTAGTTCTTTTTCTTTGTCCTTTAAAATATTAATTAATAAATTAAATAATAAATATATATATAAAATAACCTTTTCTCTATGCTCCAATCAATTTTCTTCTTTCCAAACTCTTTTTGGCTGATTTTTTATTCATATTTTGAATCCGAAGTGTTTTTTGATTGAACCTATAATTGTTTTTGTTCAAAAAGTTTAATTTTATCAAAAAGTTGTACAAGTCCAGATGCCATCATTAAAACTTATTATTGCAACTCCAATTTCTAAAGTGGTTTTTGAAATAAAAATTTCTTTTGGACACCTTTTCCACACAATTTGATTCAGAGCCTCATTTGGATCTATCTAAACAATGATGTTTGAGTGGATCCATCTAAACAGTAACTCAAAAGATCATCGCTACGTAAATCCTTAAAAATTGGTGAGATTACAGTTTTCAATGCAGTTGGTAAATTAACTGATAGTTTGTATCGCTTGCTATTTTTCCAATAATTACACCAACTATTATAAGTGTGAAGACAAAACTGGTGACGGATTCCAGGATCTTCAATTTTAGTGTACCGCAAAAATATTTTAAAACAAAATTTTTACCATACCCTAAAAACCCTTGTTTTTTTTAAATAAAAAATAAAAAAAATACAATGACAATATATACTTTTGAAATCTATGATAAATTTTGAATACAAAACAGTTAAAAAAAAATACTATTTTTTTATGTTTTTTTACCAGCTTACCACCTTAACTAATATAATGCCGTTTAACCCATTTTAATCAGTGTAACTTAAATTTTAACTGTCATTCTCTTAAATATCCAAATTGTTGCTTTTAAAAAAATCTCTGCTGGGCATTTAAAAAAATGTCTCTGCGCTCATTTAAAAAAATATCCGCTGGCATTTTTTTGCCCGCGAGCAATAGTTTGGCCACCATTGGATTAGCAGTAGTTTGGCTACCACTGGAATAGCAGTGGTTTGGCTACCACCGGATTAGCAGTGGTTTGGCCACATACTGTTTTAATATGTTTCGAAAATCGTTTTTCTCATTTAAGAACGTTAAAGCACTTAACGTTTACGAACTCAATGTCTATAATATTTTATGTTTTATGTTTCGTTGTAAAAGTGAACGACCACTGTCCAATTTCAAAGATCTTTTTACTTATAAAGCTATAAACAAATATGCTTTACGAAATAATAATTTATTAATTGAACCCTTTTGTCAAACAAAGTTTAATCAATTTTGCATAAACTATAGAGCACCGTATTTATGGAACAGAATTGTTGTTCCAAATTTTGATTTGTCAATTTCGTTTTCCGTTTTTAAAACTAAATTAAAAAACTATATTCTTTCTACTGGCAATATATATAAATATTTTTGAAATGTAAAATTCTTTTTTTTTACTCTGGATAATTTGTAAAATTGTTTTCAGTTTTTGTTTCTTCTACATTGTTATTAGTTATTTGATCAATTGTATTTTATTTTATTATATATACACGTATTATATTTTTTATATGGTTCTGGCGACAAGATCATTTGGATCTTCTTTCAGATACCAAGTTTATATATTGTTATATTGTTATAATACGATTAATAATTGTAAACTGAAAAAAAAAAAAAAGTAACAATAAACAACAACGTAAGAAGTAACAACGGGGAAATACCTTTATATGATTATACATTAAAATGATAACTGTCTCATCTATGTAAATGTAAATAAAAAAAATTCTTTATGTAAATTATTGTGATTAATATATTTTACTATTTTGTTAAAAATTATTCTATATATTCAGTTACCCTTCTATAACTCATATATTGTTTTAAATTAAAAGTTATTCCAAAACTCTACTTGTAAAAAATAAATAATTCAAAAGTGAAAAACATCAAAACAAAATTGTGAGACAAAAAAAGATTTGAATTCCGAAAAAACTGAGAAAATTATATCTTTTAGAGAATAATAAAATCTAAATATATTATATTTGTATTAATTATAATTTTAATAATTTATATTATATTATTATTTCATAACAGCCATGGCGCAGTGGTAGCACACTTGCCTCAGAAACAAAAGATCCGTTGTTCAAACCCCACCTCTGGGCAAGTTTAGCGACATCGGTTAGGAAGGATGCGTAACCTTCCTATTAAATGCTCATCGGCGGTGCTCTGTGATAATACCGTAAGAACTTCTTGGGGAACCTAAATAAAACTTAAAAAAAAATATTAAAAAAAAAATTGTACAAAGTAGCGAATTCTAACATGCTTAAATTCAATCTATTAATGAATTATGATAAAACCTACAACACGAAGAAAATTCATTTCACTTTAAAATATTCATATTAGTATATCCAGAGCCGTGGCTAGGCTCCTCTCCCCCAAACACTGTATGGGGGAGGCAGCAATTTTAGGGGACCTATTTGCTAATTTAAGGGCTCTTTTTGCAAGTTTTAGGTTTTTTTTTTTTTAATAATACCTAGTGGAAAAGTTTTTAAGATTTTGGGGCTCTATTGGCTGGGAAGAAAGGAAGAAAGGGGGCTCTGCCCTACTAGACATGGCCCTGAGACTTGGGTCTATATCTAGTATCTGCAGCAGGTAAAGAAACTTAAGTAAACTAAAATTAATGTAGAGCTACTATAAAACGAAAGTTTTAAGAACGTCTAATGAACATGTTGTAAATGAACAGGATGCAACTCTGTCCTAAGATAAAATGATAATAAAAAACACACAAAAAGTAGCAGTTCTATTTGTGTTATATCCGTTGTACATTAATTAGGTAACCGAATTAATAGTAAGTTTTGCACCTTCTAACATCGTGTACAATTCCTGTCCGCTGTCCATATGCCATCTTTCTAACGCAACTGCTTTTATCTTTTAATCTAATATATCTTTGTTCTTAATAAACTAACCTTACTTTTTGTCCGTAGAGTGGGTTATGACGCTCTTTGGGGAGCCGAACTTGTCTTTGCGGACCTAGGTATTGTGGCCTCTGTATGTCATCTAACCGGAAAGTCTAGTTGTCATACAGAAGCCACAATATACATGTATAAAGATTATGAAAAGTAAAAAGAAGTTTTCGATATATATTTAAATGGATTTGTGTTATTTAACCGAAATTTTCCTGAAATATGGATGTAAGTTAATAGTACTTAATTTTAACTTTTTTACTTAAAATTTGTTTTTACATTTTAAATGTCAAGCGCTGCGCCTATATATATATATATATATATATAAATATATATATATATATATATATATATATATATATATATATATATATATATATATATATATATATATATCTTATACTGCTGAGTTAGGTAAGCATGATAGTGTTTATATATATATATATATATATATATATATATATATATATATATATATATATATATATATATATATATATATATATATATATATATATATATATATATATATATATATATATATATATATATATATATATATATATATATATATATATATATATATATATATATATATATATATATATATATATATATTTATATATATTCTAATAAAGAAGACAAATTTTTTAATTTTTGTTAGAATCATTTGTTTTGTAAATACATGTTTCGACTATATCAAAGCCATCATCACTTAAAATATATTAAAATTCAAACTATTGAAATTAAGTTGAACCAATAGAAATCTTATAATAAAAATACAATAAAAATTAAAATATGTAACAAATGTTTTAAAAAAATAAAAGAACCGGTAATGTTAAAAGGAACTAGATTGAAACTGTCATTTTTACATGGTTCATTTGTTTATTAATAGTAGGTTTTTCCAGCATGTACATAGCATGCTTTCTTTGAGTTTTAATATAAATTTGTTGGAGGCCGAATCCAAATAGTGACCGATTTACAATATTTTTTAAAAATTGCGTATATAATTTATACGCAAATTCTTTAAAATTTTATCATTAAAAGATTATATATAAAAGATAAAAACTTTCTTATTTTATTAAAATAATGAAAAAAAAATTTATTTTATTAATGCCTTTGACAAGCGGTTTAAAACTTGTTCATAATCAAAAATATTTACTTAAAATTGAAATAGAAAGTTTTTTTTAATTTCTTATGTATTCTCTTGAGTAACAATAATTACTTATGAATTTAGTGACATTACTTTGGGTTGTTATAAAAAAAAATTTATTAAAAAATATTGTTTTTTAAAATGATCGATGTTGATATTCTTTAATTATTGTGTTTTACTTAGAAATTTTTATATTTTTAATATTTATTTGAACATATTTATACAAACTCTCTCTCTATATATATATTTATATATATATATATTTTTCTTCAGTGCTTACTGTCCGTTCAATATTTGGTGTTCAACCAACTGCAGATATGTTCTTTATGCGAGAAAAAGAACTTTCAAAAATTCATCAATATTTTAACGATTTACAAGATAATAAAAACTCAACTTTAGTATTATACGGAATGTCTGGTGCCGGGAAGACACAACTTACCAGAAAATATTGTGAAATCCATCATGACTTTTATGAACATTTTGTTTGGATAGATGCAGGATTTGGAAAGTTACATGCTTCAATGAGGAATCTTTATGAATTATTAGGATTTGTTGTTCAAGATTCTCAAGGCAATTCTTTCGATGAAGAAGTGGTTGTTGAGAAAATTCACAACTACTATAAAAACGAAAAAACTCTGTATATTTTTGACAATGTCGACGATGAAAGCGTTCGAAATTTGGGAATGTTTATTTCAAAGAAACCGAATTCGTTTACTTTAATAACAACTCAATGGAGAACGTGGTCAAATAAAGTAAATCAAATGTTAATCGATGGTTTTTCTTCTGAAGAGGCTTTCGAGTACGTAAAAAATGGTATAAAAGAAAATACCGACGAAAACATTAAATACCTAATTAAAGAACTTAGTTATCATCCGTTCGCTATTACTCAAGCAATAAAATATATAAAGAGACATAAAATTTCCACACAAAAGTATATAGATCGATATAAATCAAATCCTATAGAAATACTAGATGATAAATACTTTCCAACGGAAGAAGAATCAAAGTCTGCTATAAAAGCAATCAATTTAGTGTTAATAAAATTAGAAAAAAAAAAAATTATTCCATTAAAATTACTCAACTGCTTATCTTATTGTAATGGTCAAAGCATAAATAAAGAATTTATCAGGCAGATCTTAAAACAAATGACAGTAAATGAAGAATATTTAATAGATGAAGCCGTTGGATTACTAATAAGTTATTCTTTACTAGATCGATTGGATGATGAAAAATATTCAATGCACGAACTGACACAGTTGTCGTGTAAATATTTTCAAAACAAAAACTCAAGTTCAAATACTTATTTTGATCTAATGGAAAAATATTTTCAACTTGAGTTAAACAAAGTAAAAGATCACGTTGATCACGGAAAACATTTTGTTTTTCATTTTTTCCACATGTTTCGTATTAACAAAAATAGAATGTCGAAAACCTTCCATCAGATGACGACATCTATTCAAACTCTATTAGTATGTAAAGGTTTATTTCAAGAAGCAATCGAAATATTAGAAAGTATTAAAAAATTTAATGCAGAAACATACGGAGAGAATAATAAACTCACAACTGATACAAAAAATAATATGGCAGGCTGTTTGTACGATATGGGAAAATATAACGAAGCTTTAGAAATTTATTATTCTGTTGATAAAATACGAACTGAAATTCTAGGTATCAACCATCCAGATACAATGTCAACAAAAAATAATATCGCAGGCTGTTTGAAAGCTATGGGAAAATATAACGAAGCTTTAGAAATTTATTATTCTGTTGAAAAAATACGAACTGAAATTTTAGGTATCAACCATCCAGATACAATGACAACAAAAAATAATATCGCAGGCTGTTTGAAAGCTATGGGAAAATATAACGAAGCTTTAGAAATTTATTATTCTGTTGAAAAAATACAAACTGAAATTTTAGGTATCAACCATCCAAATACAATGACAATAAAAAATAATATCGCAATCTGTTTGAAAGCTATGGGAAAATATAACAAAGCTTTAGAAATTTATTATTCTGTTGAAAAAATACAAACTGAAATTTTAGGTATCAACCATCCAAATACAATGACAATAAAAAATAATATCGCAATCTGTTTGAAAGCTATGGGAAAATATAACGAAGCTTTAGAAATTTATTATTCTGTTGAAAAAATACAAACTGAAATTTTAGGTATCAACCATCCAGATACAATGACAACAAAAAATAATATCGCAGGCTGTTTGATAGCTATGGGAAAATATAACGAAGCTTTAGAAATTTTTTATTCTGTTGAAAAAATACAAACTGAAATTTTAGGTATCAACCATCCAGATACAATGACAACAAAAAATAATATCGCAACCTGTTTGAACGCTATGGGAAAATATAACGAAGCTTTAGAAATTTATTATTCTATTGAAAAAATACGAACTGAAATTTTAGGTATCAACCATCCAGATACAATGACAACAAAAAATAATATCGCAATCTGTTTGAACGCTATGGGAAAATATAACGAAGCTTTAGAAATTTATTATTCTTTTGAAAAAATACGAACTGAAATTTTAGGTATCAACCATCCAAATACAATGACAACAAAAAATAATATCGCAATCTGTTTGAACGCTATGGGAAAATATAACGAAGCTTTAGAAATTTATTATTCTTTTGAAAAAATACAAACTGAAATTTTAGGTATCAACCATCCAGATACAATGACAACAAAAAATAATATCGCAGGCTGTTTGAACGCTATGGGAAAATATAACGAAGCTTTAGAAATTTGTTATTCTGTTGAAAAAATACAAACTGAAATTTTAGGTATCAACCATCCAAATACAATGTCAACAAAAAATAATATCGCAGGCTGTTTGTACGATATGGGAAAATATAACGAAGCTTTAGAAATTTATTATTCTATTGAAAAAATACGAACTGAAATTTTAGGTATCAACCATCCAAATACAATGACAATAAAAAATAATATCGCAATCTGTTTGAAAGCTATGGGAAAATATAACGAAGCTTTAGAAATTTATTATTCTGTTGAAAAAATACAAACTGAAATTTTAGGTATCAACCATCCAAATACAATGACAATAAAAAATAATATCGCAATCTGTTTGAAAGCTATGGGAAAATATAACGAAGCTTTAGAAATTTTTTATTCTGTTGAAAAAATACAAACTGAAATTTTAGGTATCAACCATCCAGATACAATGACAACAAAAAATAATATCGCAGGCTGTTTGATAGCTATGGGAAAATATAACGAAGCTTTAGAAATTTTTTATTCTGTTGAAAAAATACAAACTGAAATTTTAGGTATCAACCATCCAGATACAATGACAACAAAAAATAATATCGCAATCTGTTTGAAAGCTATGGGAAAATATAACGAAGCTTTAGAAATTTTTTATTCTGTTGAAAAAATACAAACTGAAATTTTAGGTATCAACCATCCAGATACAATGACAACAAAAAATAATATCGCAGTCTGTTTGAAAGCTATGGGAAAATATAACGAAGCTTTAGAAATTTTTTATTCTGTTGAAAAAATACAAACTGAAATTTTAGGTATCAACCATCCAGATACAATGACAATAAAAAATAATATCGCAATCTGTTTGAACGCTATGGGAAAATATAACGAAGCTTTAGAAATTTATTATTCTGTTGAAAAAATACGAACTGAAATTTTAGGTATCAACCATCCAAATACAATGACAACAAAAAATAATATCGCAATCTGTTTAAGAAATCTTTTATTCAATAATTTATTGCAGTTATTAAAAAAAAGTTGAACTAGCTGTTAATTTTATTGATTATTATTTTATTTAGTTAGTAATTATAGTTATAGTAATATTTATATATATATACATATATATATATATATATATATATATATATATATATATATATATATATATATATATATATATATATATATATATATATATATATAAATATATATATATATATATAATATATTTATACATATATATATATATATATATATATATATATATATATATATATATATATATATATATATATATATATATATATATATATATATATATATATATATGCTGGTTTAAATGATTAAAGTAATAAGTATTATACTCCCTATGGGGATTGAAAACCGTTTTTTAATAGGAATTGTTTGGAATGTTTAATTAAAATATTAAGTAATTGCTGCTCTCATGATAATAAACCACTTATTGTATAAGATAAATTTAGTGTTATTAAAGTTTACAATATACAATTTAAATGATAAGTAATATGTAAATGTAGTAGTAAACATAGAACATTTTTGTTAGTTTTCGTCATGTTTTACTTGGTATTACGATTATAGTTTAACACTATGTGAAAATTTTTTGAAATAAATTACGCGCGTAAAAACTTTAAAAATCTGTGCGCAAAAAAGTCAAATACCGTATACGATCACTTTCTACTACGGTCATAATGAATTTCATCAATATTAATGAAGAAAAATAATGAAAGAAAGTTTTTTTGTGGCTAAATTTTTTTTATCTAAATGGGTAATTATTTGAAACTTTCTTGTATATATAGCATAGGTTTTTTGGAAACATTCTTATACCCAATAAACTGAACAACAATTGAACGGCCAATTACATGCAATAAAATGGTAATAGAAGCAATTCAAAATATATATATATATATATATATATATATATATATATATATATATATATATATATATATATATATATATATATATATATATATATATATATATATAAGTTTAATTTTGCTGTGAGCATATATTTAGCAATAGTTCTCGATGAATGTTATCAGAGCTAAATAACTGATTTTTTTGACGAGATTAAATAAAAAATAATTACATAATTTTTACTACTAAAAGATTCATGCGTTTAGCAATCATCAGGTAAAAATACATTGTTTTTTCTATCACATCAAAATATCTAATTAATGCAATACTGTTTGCAAAAAAACACACAATGTTTATTGATTCAGATGTTCTCTTCGCTAATACTTAGCGAACAGAATATCAGAATCATTAAACATTGCAGAAAGTCCTTGCTATTTTTTAACAACGAAACATGGAAGAAAAACTTAGCACACGACTGCTTTGATGTCACAATGGGCTGTTTTGATGGTACAGAAGTTTATGAACTGGTGAGCCTATAAATATTAGACTCACTATATAAAATAATAAATACAGAAGACGTTGGACTATATCGTAACGATGGGAGCGCGTCGAATAACCGAAAGACCAATTCCGACGATTAGTCGATCCCGAAACCCGAAAATAGAAGAAACACTTTCCGATTCCAGTCGAAAGTCATTTTAACTGCAAAAAAATAACATGTCTACTATTATTCACTGGTTGCCACTAATAATAGTAGAATTCTTCTAAATTTTGTCATAATCTGTTTAATACACGAATTTTGTACAGTCCAAAAAATAGTCGATACCCTAAATTTTGTCAATTTCTGTGTTTTAGTCGAATTCTGCCACTATCTGTTAAATAAACGAATGACAAATACCTGATTTGAGTCGAATTTTTTCTGAAGAATTGGTGGACTTGTTAAATCATCGAAATACGTATTGGCAAAGAATACAAACAGTCGAAAATGTTTTCGGCTATTATACGGGTATGCCACTATTTTTAGTAGAAAGACAAAAATACATTGTCCAAGTCCGTTAACCAGTCGAAATTAAAATTCGGCTATTCTCTGTGGCTGCCACATAAACCAGTCGACGGCTATAAAAATTTGGCAGCGTCAAACCTCAACAGCCCTAAAAAATGGTAATGTCTGAACCTGCGCGAACGCATCAGTTCATCATTGGGTACGGACCTTTGTAAGGGCCCGGAGGCAAAGTTGTCTGAAAGTTTTATCCAGGCCATCAATAACGCATCCATCCATCGATTGGCTACAGTTTGTTTTTGCCTTTCATTTTGTTGTTACCTGGATGCAATTTACTTCTCGTTGTCGTAATATTACTAATGGTCAGTTCATTTGATTTAATTCAAGTTTAAATTCAGTAGATTATCAAAGAAAACATAAATACTTGGTCTATCTCATTAGTTGCGATGTGCGCCATCTGTTGATCTTGAAGATCATGGACAAGTCCATAGATAGCGCCCTCTGGAGATAGATCATAAAAATGACAAAGGTTGATGGCACAGGTCCAGGCAAATGTCGAGACCATTAAAAATAAGCAAATAACCATTAGGTTCTATTCGCCATTAAGGAAGATACTTTAAATTATGACAATCACATTAACCGTCTATAACGTTTAATACTAAACCAATGAGTATTTTACTATTTTGAATGCATTTCATACATTACTACTTTAAAGTACAGGCAGGGTCTTCGTAACTAATAGTATGGACAATGGATAATTTGCTAAAAGTTATGTTGACAGTGGGGCAATAGTTAATTAAATAGTTTTTATTTAATTAAAAATGGTTTAGTAATTCCAACGCCATCTTACAAAAAAAGAACAAGGTTTAAGCTCGTGAATATTCTCACAATCTCAAAATATGGATTCTTCTTCTTACTCAAAAAAAATAAAAACAATCTCGACCTGGCATCGGATTGGAACCCAGGACCTTTCAATCATGTGGCCGGTACTCTGCTGCCGATGCCAGCTTGAGATCGCAAAATTTATGAATGGTTTTTTCACAATGATAAAAGACAAATAAAAGAAACATGGTTATGAATCATTTATTGTACTTATTATGTTTACGAACAACTTATTTTCTTCCGGCTTGCATTTGTCTGACTTTTCTTGAGACAATACGTCTTTTGTCGACTATCTTATTGGCGGTGTCCTTCAATCCTCTTTCTAATAGAAGCCATTTGTGAAGTTCTGATTTGTTTCTTCTGTTTTGTCTGATTTTTCTGGCAACTATACGTCTTTTGAAGTATAATTTCCTTTCAATCTTCTTCAGTACTCTGTCGACTTGAAGCCAGATCTCAAGGGGTCCCATCTCAAGCCTGTTAGCTGTAGTGAAGTTGTTCAGTCTTTTTTCAACTTCAAGCCTGTCCTGAATCAGGAGGTCTTCAAATAGTGGGTCCGGTGCAATGCTTGTTGTTTTTGTAGTATTTATGACTGGCCAAAGACCAAATGTCAAAGGCCAAAGACCAAAGATGTTCATGGTGAAAAACTTTAGCTTCAACTACAAATAGTTAACTGTTCATCTGAATAACGCGGATAAACTGGCGTACATTTAGCGTTAGCATCTTATCAGTTGTCCAAAATAAATATGAGTTACGAATAACTCCCCCCAGATTGAGCACAGTGTTTTAAAAAATAACAAAAACAGATCAACCGCTTGTGAAACGGCCTATTTTTCGCTGGGGGGAGTTTGTACAAATCAGCTGACCAGTTTATCCTGACCCATTAATTCCCTTAGTCCCTTAAGGCGTTTCTCTCTCTCTCTTTATGAATGTTTTTTTAAACAAAAAATAAAACCTAAATTTCGAATCCCTGTCAGGAATCGAACACCGGTCGTCCGGGTGAGAAGCGAGTACTATAACCACTAGACAGGAACCCCAAAGAGGTTCCAAAAAATGAAGTATTTTACAGAGACCCCTAAGGGGTTAGCCTACAAAAGTTTCTTCTTCACCCGCGGTACAAAATGTACAAAACTCGGGAAATCATAAAAGTGTTATCAAAGGTACAATCTGTTTATTTAGTCAATTTATAAGAAAAATACATGAAAAATGAAAGTAGAATAATAGTAAATAGAAAGCCATTTCCAGTCAATTTTTTGTAAAAATAATAGGAAATAGAAAGCCATTTCCAGTCAATTTTTTCAGGCGTAGAACAGCCGATGTCGTGAAGTAACCCGTGTCCTACATACGGGGCACAAATAGACGCCCTCGGGTTCATCGTCAAGTCCTTGGGCTTCGAGAAGGGCTGCACATGTTGAACACACGCAGACATGCCCGCACGGCAGTAGTATTGTGTCCTTGGGGCTCGCCATGCAAATGCAAGACGGTTCTGCTGCTGGACCTGCGGCGGAGATATGCGGCGGCGTGACCCGGTTGCTGTTGTCTATCTGCCTGTGGCCCTGCGGCTGCCAGGAATGCGTCATCATCTCCGTGTCTGAAAGTATTGAACATTTTAAAGATAAGTTATTAATGAACACATTTTAAAGATAAGTTTCATATGAAATTAATCAACATCGTATTATAAATAGAAATTACTAGAAAATGATTGAAATTATACTTGGTATACTTACTCGTCAAAGACTTCGTCGTCGCCATCCTCATCATCGGCGTAGCCATCGGCGGCCATTTCTGCTGCCAGCTTTGCATCGGCCTCATCCTGATCTTTTTCATTCGGAAGAACCGGAGTGGGCATTCTGTGGGCCATAAAATGGAGGTGTTGAATGGGGGTGATTTCCCCATTGGCCAGTCGCTCCTCCTGATTCTTCACAGTTCTGGCCGCTACCTGGTTCGATAATTTGATGTTCCTCCGGATCCTGATGTTATTGTCCAACTGTAGGACATCGATCTTTGCTGGCTCGATGACGAACATCCTCAGATCTGAAAGGAATCTCCAGATTGTCGACGCCTTTGCCAGCTTCAAAGACATTCTGAAAAATTTGGGAAAAGTTATAAATAATGAACAACAAAAATAACCAGATCGTGAATATTTTCACATTGTTAACTCAAAAAAATTGTTAAGAAATAACTCACTTCTTATGGAGACTTTCGCAGACGTTGTTGGTCTTATGTGCAAGACCGTACGTAGAGATCAGCTGGGGCCCGATGCCTTGGAACCACCACTTTACGAAGTAATTCCTGTGCATTATCTGGACTTGCTTCCGGAGCCTGAGTTGTTGTAAGTGGAGCACATCTTGCTTCAGCTGTTGAAATACCGGTACCATTTGGTTCGCCGGTAGAGTGCTTAGGGCCATGTGTTTGAGCATCAGATTCCTAAACTCAACATTTTTATAGAAATCCTCCTTGTTGCAAGCACACACTTTCCGGAGAACTAAAAAGAAGTAAATAACAAAGATAAATAACGTGTTAAAAATCAATTAAATGGTTAAAATATTATTTACCTGCTTGGCTGAAGTGAAATCTGCATCCAGACACTCTCGATTCCGGAAAGGCAGTTTGCATGGTGTTCAGGATCGCCCGTTCGTAGTCCGACATCACACTTTTTGGCTTGAAGTCTGATCCAACCAAAGCTTTGAACCGCTCCATGATCTGGCCGTAGAGTGCTTGCTCCTTGCATGTCATTAAGACATGCATCACCGCGACAGAGTAATCTTTGTAGATGACAATGATGTTCAACAGTTAAGAAAAGATATCGTGGTGAGGCCGTGTTTTAAAGGTGGCATCGACGAAGAGTTCTTGAGTCTCTGAAACAAATACCCAAAATTATAAATTTGCTTAAAAGTAATTGTACAAAGATAAAAAAGTTGTTGTATCTAACCCCTTTAAAACAATTTAAAATTACCCAAAATGATAAATTTGATAGAACATAGTATCAAAACAACTCGCAAATTAAAGCAGTGTACTCACTTTCAACGAGAGCGAGAAGTTTTGGGTCTGCAAAAATGAATCCGACCTTCTCATCTTCGAATTCGACGAAACCTTGGTAGATGTCTTTGAACGAATGTCCATTGTCGAGAGCTTCCTTCATTTCTGCCAGATTCTTGGGAATCGGAGGCAGGTTCTTCCTCCGCTTATTCCTCATGATGGACTCGGCAGCCTCGAACTTGAGGTTTTTCTTCACGGCCTCAGTCGACTGGCTAAGGACAGAGTTCCAAATGTCCCTCAGCGGTTCGGTAGTTTGCCCTAGAATAAAATGAATTTTTAATTAAAGATTTTAATTAAGTTAAAAATGTTAAAATTCAATTATTCACATTGGCAGACAAATGTTTTCAGTCGAAATATGGCTTAATAAAAAATTCAAAAACAAATATTACCAGCTCGAAATTTCATCCGTGCCTTGGCCTGCAAAATAAGGTACTCATCACTCATGTCGCCACATGAGTGATCCTTCTCCAGGTACAGGGTATTGTCCTTAATCCTTGCAGTACCACCACATGAACCTAACAGGGTTAAATGGGGATCCCGTTAAATGCTAAGATACAATCATGATAATGGTAATGATAATAATTCTAAGATCGTGAATATTTTCACGAGTTAAAAAAAGTATCCTATTAAACAATTAAAAATTACCTCTTTTCACCGTGTAGCGATGGCACTTTAAATAAGTCGTTGGTCGAGCGTCTGTGCCATCCTTCGACAACACATACGCTTTTTGGAACTCGTCGAACCAGATAGTTGGGGAGCCTTCCATTTCATATCTGGTGTAGTTCCGGACTTCAACAACATTATGAAAGCGAGCTGGTCCAACCACTGGTTCTTGCACTTGAGCCTCTGGTGCTTGTCGAGGCTCGACCTCCATCGGCATCGCAGTCTCCACCTCCTCGACCTCCATTGCAACAGGTGCCTAAGCTTCGACCTCCTCAACGGTGTCGTCCAGCCTCAATTCGAATGCAGACGTTCAACCACAGACATCAAAAGCCGTCACGAAAATGGTTGCTATTTCATTGTTGGTAACTAATTTTTTTTTAAGTACAAATCGTGGTAGACTATTTTCAACGTTCAACCACAGACTTCAAAAGTGTTGGGAATTAATTAGACGAAAGCTAAAATCTGAGATGACCCATACAAATACAACGCGACACATGTACCCTTAAGGGAAAAAAAAATATATATATATAAAACCTAATAACCTACTCAGTACTCGAACATAATAATATGAAGTCATTGTACTTACAAGAATTTATGTTATGTAAATAGGTAGATAATACTAAGTCAAAGCCAAACATGTATAACTGAGTCCTAGTATAAGGCTAAGTACATGGCTAAGTAATAATTTCAAAACAAAAAATATAAAATACGAAAATTATGAGCTGTTATTCATTAAAATAAGTAATAATAAATCAAAAGAAGATAAAGTTAACCTTACCATAGCTTTGTTAAACGAGAAAAGAGAATTCATAACATGTGCAAATTAAAAAACTAAAGTGCATCACATGTATGACGTAAGTTGCGGTAAAATGGTGAAAAATGGAAACAATAGAAAATATGCGTTTTGAGTAAAATTTAAGAAGATTTTTATGTGATTCTTAAATGCAAGCCGATTGGTTGACAAAATTGTCAGGTGTTTTATGATTGTTGTTCTGAGTTTGGAAGAGACAAATTTAAAGAAACGAGTAAAAAATATTCATTAAAAAACAGATTCTTGGAGCACTATTATATTTCAAAACCTAATTTTACAGAATATCAATTCCCGATGCTGACCCTTCATCTTTCAAGAAGGCGGCAATCGACAGCCAATTTTCTTGTTGCTGCTTTGCAGCCCTGCGAAAGTTACTTCCGCGCCTTTTTCTTGTCCCCCTAGTTTTCTTTCGGGGCATAGTGTGGAGACAAATCCCTCTTTAATTACCTCGTTGCTCGGTGTCCTGTCGTTTATTTTGATATTGGGGCATGGTGTAGGGATAATGTCCTCTTTATTGTTGGTCGGTGTCGTGTCAGCTGTTTGAGGGTTCTACGGAGAAAGATACACATGTACATATGCACACAAACATATACACACATAGATACAGCCATACATATATACATCGATAGACACACATAAATGTATGAACCCACCCAGATACATACACACACATACATACTTTCATACATACACACAGTAGCTCTTACTATTATGGTTTTACCCAAAGGTTAAACTCACAGAGCAGCATTAGAGAAGACAGCTGACCGATTTACCAATCGGTGATCGGTCCTCATTGCTAGCACCTTACACAGGGACTAGAGTAGCTGAACCGCATCAAAAGATGCAGTCGAATGAGTAATAGCTGGATTGATCACTATAATGCAGTTAAAGATTCCGCCATGTTGGACAGCAGCCAGAAGAACCAATTAGAACGAACCGTACAGTCGGGTAACCTGAAGCAAATACGGTTCATTTGCCTACTGGCAAGAAGTTCCAATTGCTGAAGCCCTACACAAGGAATAAACAGGCAGAACAGCATGAAAGAACACAGTAGAATGAGTAATGACTCAATCGACTGCTAATGTGCAGTTAAAAATTCAGCGGCGCTCGATGGCAGCTCAGAGAACCAATTAGAACGAATCTTACCCTCGGTTTACCCAATAAAAATACGATTCGTTTACCTATTGGTGATTGGTCCTCCTTACTAGCATCTTACACAGGAACTGAAGTAGCTGAACCGCATCAGAAGATGCAGTTGAATGAGTACAAATTAAATAACTAATACGCAGTTCAAAATTTAGCCGTGCTCGACGGCAGCTCAGAGAACCATATAGAACGAATCGTACCCTCTGTTTACCCAATGTAAAATACCCAACTACATAGTTTACGAATTTACGAATTTATTCAACACTGATATGCTTTTATTATCTGTTTTTTAAGTAAATTCGCGCGAACTTGTTCTCAATATATTTACTTACAAATCGTCACTTTATTGTCTAGGAATGGTTGTTTATTATATATAATAGGTTATTATACTAACTGTGTTATGATTTTATTTGTTATTACATTACCATTATTAGTGTATATTTTATTTTCGATAACATCTCTATTATTCCAGGCAAACCTAGAGTTGTATATATTATAAAATACTATCGCAGCCATAACCCAAACCCTTAGATCAGGGAGATACTCCCTTACGTGTTCACCCTAAATCAGTCAAAGGTTGGACTGAAGCTCTCACAGCTCCCTAAGTTATTATGACGTAATCAGCTACCATAATGTCGGTACTAATAAAAATAATAAAAATTTAAATTATTTATGTATAAAACGATAACACTAAATCATAGAAACAAGGTATATGTAAGTTCTAGACGGGGGGGACAGATATTTCTACTAAAACGGTAATTATAAACTATAATTAGGGGAATACGCATCTTTCTACTAAAACTAAACCAAAAACCCAAAAAAAGGGGGAATAGAATATTTCCACTAAAACGGTAATAATAATAAACAAAAAATTGGAAAAAACGAATATTTCGATATAAACGGTATTAATTTTGAACTGAAATTAGGGACAAACGTATATTTTTACTAAAACGGGTTATCTACAACTAAAATTGGGGGCAAGCGAATATCTCCACTAAAACGGTATTAATTTTATCTATAAATGGGAGGAAAACGAATATTTTCACTAAAACGGTATTATTTATAAACTAAAATTAAGGGGTAATGAATATTTCAACTAAAACGGTATTAATTATAAACTATAATTAGGGGAATACGCATCTTTCTACTAAAACCAAATGAATGTTCGGGAATAGAATATTTCCACTAAAACGGGAATAATTTTAAACAAAAAATTGGAAAAAACGAATATTTCCATATAAACGGTATTAATTATGAAATAAAATTAGGTACAAACGTAGTTTTTTACTAAAACGGGCTATTTACATACTAAAATTGGAGGCAAACGAATATCTCCACTAAAACGGTATTCGTTTAATCAAAAATTAATTTAATTAATAATACTAAAAGTAGGAAAACCAAATATTTTTCTACTGAAACAGTTAAAATGTATTATCGAAAATTACACTAACTACCACAACTCGGATAACATCACTAAACTAAATAAAACATCACTAAACTAAACTAAATAAAACATCACTAAACTGAGTCTAACTAAAAAAGAACTGACAGGACATTATTACAACAGGCACCTTACACTGAATTGGACACTGGACAATATCCTACTCTGAACCTCACCTCTTTATACTGGACATCTGTCCTAATATTATAATAACTCTAGCACTCTCTAGCACTTACGTAAAATATTTCTATCTTCCCTCAAAACTATAACGGCCCAGCGTGTTCCAAACAAGTGGTGGAACTTTAATAGCTTTCACTGCGAAACAATTGGAAAATCAAAATCAAAAGCAAAAGCAAAAGCAAAAAGCACCGCAAAACTACCCCGTCCAACTCGTCTACCTCTTCTGACGAGGAATCAGACGCTTCGAATACTTCTAGAGATTCAATTTTGAATCCTAGAAAGGCTGGGAAAGGGAAAGGGAGGAAAGGCCGTTACCTCCCCGTTACCGTTGCCGTTACCTCCCCGCACTGCAACATGGCGGTCAGCTTCAGACCTTCCTCCCGCAATTCAACAAGACATTTTGTCAACTTATGGTCACTATCAATTTTCAAAAATTTTGGACCCGCAAATTCGTGAACACATTGGGAAACGCAAACCCTCTAATTGGACTTTACTTTTGGCAAATTCTGTGGGCAGGTGTCTTGTGGACGCCTATTTTGTATTTTTATAGGTGTCTTGTGGACGCCTATAAAAATACAAAATCCAAAAAAATTGTAAAAAGCAAAAAACCCAAAAAAGATTGTAAGATGTTAATTAAAACGTAGAATAACTACGTAAAGCCGCAGTACGCACGCTCTACAACCTTTTAACCGGTAATTTTTAACATAATTTGATAGAAATTTTCAAAGATTGAGATAATATTCACGATCTTATAATGTTATTCATCAAACTTATTGGTTTAATTATAATCATCATACTTATTAGTTGCAATTTAGTATTACTTGATGGTTTTTCTTTGATTCTTTGTTCGTGTTATAATGCTAATCATCAATCGGATTGGTAGAATTTTACATTATTTTGTTGCCGGCTAATCCGGATCTTCACTTCACTGTGGCTCACTTCTACCTCCTTCTTCTAATGAGGTAAATACTACCAGTTATTAATACTGAAGACATTTTGTGAATAGATACTGTTTACATGGGTCCCGTGTATATCTGAACCAATATTCTAAAACTTAATACTTTTAAAATTTGCTTTCAGATTATCATTTAACGCGTTCGATTGGACCCGTTCGATTGGACCCGCTCGATTGGACCCGGAAACGTCTCTCCTCTCATCCAGACTTTAATTGGTTGAGGTAACGCACAACGTTCTATTTTCCAATTACATTAGTAGTCAATATTACAGTATTACAGTAATTGAACATTTAAAAAATGTAATATTGCGTTTAAACGTTTGCATCTTTAGTTAGTTACATAACAATTAAACAACTTTTCCTAAATATTTCAGGTCTAAATCGTGTCGACAATTTCAGGTGCCCGATCGTTTGTTCGTGTCTGGATTCGATAATCAGGATGGAGGATATTCGTTCTGGAACGGATAAAACAACAGATACAAGATGCATGCATGTGTGAATGAAGGGAATGAGACCCTTGGAATTTCTTTTCCTCATTTCTGAGGTTTTTTTTGTATACGTATGAGACCTTTGTGAAGTATGAGAAAGTATGAGACCCGTGAACTTTTTTTCCTCATTTCGGAATGATGTTTTTTTTATATACGTATGAGAATGAGACCCTTGTGATATTTTAATTTTTTTTCCTCATCATGTTGAGGTTTTCTTTGAAATACAAACATTTGTTTTAACTGTCAATCACGTCTTATTTTTTTACAAAGGTTTAGGATCGTGAATATTCTCACAATCCGGAGTAGTTTCACTAGAACTGAAGTATAATTTCGACTCAAAATACGTACAAGTTATAGTCGAAATACGATGGTTTGGAGGGGTTTAATTAAATTCGGCTCTTTTGATGACGCTGCCAAATTTTTATAGCCGTCGACTGGTTTATGTGGCAGCCACAGAGAATAGCCGAATATTAATTTCGACTGGTTAACAGACTTGGTCAAAATAAAACAGTTCGATTATTTATCAGAACACGTCATGACAAATAGTCGAATTTCATTTTTCGACGATTTATAAATGTTTGTCCAAATAAATTCGGTTAGAAATGATTTATGACAATACACAAATTCGACTGGTTATCGGAACAGGTTTTATTTCGATTATTTGACTGTATTTGACAAAATTATCAATTCGGGTAGTTGTCAAACCTCGTCATAGTTCGTTTAAAAACAAAATACGTCATTCGACTATATCACAGACTACGTCAAAATCGTGTTTTTCGTCGACTGTTTGTAGAACGTGCCAAAATCTTATTTTTTTTCGGCTATAATACGGAATTTGTTCATTCGGCTATAAATCGGATTTTGTTTTTCGGTTATTTGTCTGTTTCCCATTTATAACAATCATTTTTACAAAATGTTTAAAATTACTATCTGCTGTAATGGAAATGCTAAGATTGTACATGCTTTCAATGACAAAACTTTTTAAAACTTAGCAATTAGTTAAGTTGGATATTAGTATGGAGCTTATTATACATGTTAGTATGGATCTTATTAATAAGGATGACTAAAAACGAACACTAAGAAAATCATAAGTTTCAGAAAAATTAAATGGGTAGCACCAAAAAAAACATAATAGCTTAATTGAGTGCTGTATTTTGAAAATGTGACGTCACAAAATTAAAATTTTACAAGAGAATGAAAAACATTTTTCATGTAAAAAATTTATTTTTATTTTATCTAAAAATTGTTTCTTTTATCCAAAAAAAAAAATATTCTTTTCAAATAACCTCACTTTCATAAAAAGTGTGGTTATTTGAAATATAAAGTTGTCCAATGTTTGTAAATAATTTTTTTTACATATTTTAATTCTGAATTTTAATAATACAGTTTTTAAAAATAATATCATCTATAAAAATATTGTATTACCTTCGTCTATCATATAAATTTAAATAAACGTTTATATAATAAATAATAATGAACCACCAGCAACTGTTAAAACTTTAAACTGATATGAATACTCTGTTGTTTTTTTCAACAGTTGAATTCAAATAGATTTCAAAGTTGGTGACACCAACTTTGAAATCCAACAAAAAATTTTTGTTACATTAAATCGACTAGAAAACCTGGCCAGTTTTTCTGCTCTCGCTTCCCGACCAAGCTTTGATATGTTGATTATTACAAATTAAAATGTTAATTAACACTGTGACTTTTTGACCGTAATATATGAAAAAGTTTTTAAAGTTGTAAAAGCTAAAGCTATGATAGATGATTTATCTTCATTTTGTTGTAATAAAACAAAATTTGTTATTAAACTTTGGGATTTACCTGTAACTCCAAACTCTTTACAGACGTTCAATGTTTGAGAAGTTGAATGAACAAATTTATTAAATGGTAAGTTTTTATATAAAAGTCTTTATGTCTGATGATTGAAAATCTTTATTTATTGTTTTGTTAATTCATCTCCCTGAACCAAGAAGGCTACTACAGACATGTAAGCTAATTAATTGTAGTTATTACACTCTTTCAACTCCATAACTCTGAAATACGAACCTTGGAAAACATGGGCACTGCGCAGAAAAATAAGTTAAACACGGTACTACCAGGGATGTGGTTGGGATCGAACTCAAAACCACTCCCTTCCAATTTATTTCTTAAAATAAGAATTGCATTTCTTGAGCAGCCCTGAACCAAGAAGGCTACTACAGACATGTAAGCTAATTAATTGTAGTTATAACACTCTCTCAACACCATAACTCTGAAATACGAACCTTGGAAAACATGGGCACTGCGCAGAAAAACAAGTTAAACACGGTACTACCAGGGATGTGGTTGGGATCGAACTCGGAACCACTCGTTTTTGAGCAAGTGCTCTACCACTACACCGTTACACCATTATAACACTATTGGATTTTAGGTCCCTAATTACTTTTTTACCAAATTTGGGGTTCCTAATAACTCTGAACTCATTGCTACGCTGCTGCACTACGGACAATGGATTTCTCAATTTGCTGAGAAATAGAATTATATTTTTCGTTACAAGAAATAAAATTACTACTTTCCAATTTATTTCTTAAAATAAGAATTGCATTTCTTGAGCAGCCGTGGCGCAGTGACAGCTCACTTGTCTCAGAAACAAAAGATTTGTGGTTAAAACTGCACTTCTGGACAGATTTTGCAAAATTGGTTAGAAGTGAGCTGTAAATTTAATGCTCATCCGCAGTGCTCTATGACCGTACGAGGTGCTGATGGAATTAAAAAAATATTTCCTCTTTTGAAAAAATTTGTCATTTCTATTTTGTTCATTTTTATTTGTCATATTTTATTATTTTTTTCTCTGTTAAAGCGCGTATCCTCCTTACAAAACATTTTATATCAATTTTTTATTTATTTATTTTTATTGATTTTTTAAATTTTTTTACAAAAAAGAAATCCTCTTATTTTTATAATTTGATAAAAACAATATAAAACAATGAACATAAAATTCTTTGTCGAAAAATGAACATACCTCTATAACCTATTATGAAATTTTTGTAAAATTCATGAGAACAAATATTTAGTTTATTAAAGGTTTTGAAATTCAAAAACTGAAGTGGAAAGATATATCAACACGCGTTTCTAATTATATTTGTGTCATCAGGATTGTAATAAATTATTTATAAAACCTCTATTTTAAATAACTGTCACGTGATGTTACAAAACTTTTAATCAACGTATCATACTACAACCTAATGTAAATTAAAATAAACTCATCAGATTTTTACCATTTAAGGCAAAAATATCATATTGCATAATGAATTTTTTGCCTTTAATAGTAAAATTTCTGTTTTATTCAAATGTAAACAATCTTTGTTTGATAATATAAACACCTAAGTTTAACCAAGTTTTAATCGTTGATATTAAAGGTTGACATAACTCCAATTTTTAAAGTTAAAGGCAGATGCTACAAATAAAAAACAAGTGTTCACAAATGTACTCATATTTTTCTATACATATATATATATATATATATATATATATATATATATATATATATATATATATATATATATATATATATATATATATATATATGTATAAATATATATATATATATATATATATATATATATATATATATATATATATATATATATATATATACATATATATATATTCTTTAAAAGTCATTTTCTTGTTATACTTATGTATGTAAATATATAGTTACATACAAATTTAACAATATACATACATTCATATATATATATACACACAAAATAATATGTATAATATTCCTTACTTTTTTTGAATTTTTCAGGACAGCTGCTGCTGAAAAGCAAATGAATATAAATGAAGATAACACTGAATTTGATAACTTAAAAGGTAGTTTTGAATTTAAACTTTAAGATTTTCTATCTCATTTTTTCAATAATGGTTTCATCTTTTAGTTGAAAAACTTTCAAGAGATGTGCTTAAAACGTTTGCAGATGAGTTGCCAAAAGAATGGAGAGAACTAGCTCGTTTCTTGAATATCAGTGATGAAGAAATAAGTCGAGCGGAACACGAGTGCAATAAAACTCGAGAACAAATTTATGAAATTTTTAACAGTTGGTTTAGAAATAATCCAAACAAAAAATGGATTGATATTAAATCAGGATTGATATTCTGTAAACGAAAAGATGTTATTGTTAAATGTCAAAGAAGTAAGTTTATTTCTTTGTTTTGTTTCATTGATTTTATTGCTTTTTTATGATTATTATTCATTTAAAAATTAGTTTATCAATTTTGAAAATATTCAAAAATTTATCCTGAAGGAAATTTAGTTAAAGAAACAGAAATGCAGCAATATATATATATATATATATATATATATATATATATATATATATATATATATATATATATATATATATATATATATATATATATATATATATATATATATATATATATATATATATATATATATATATATATATATATATATATATATATATATATATATATATATATATATATATATATATATATATATATATATATATATATATATATATATATATATTTATATATATATATATATATATATATATATATATATATATATATATATATATATATATATATATATATATATATATATATATATATATATATATATATATATATATATATATATATATATATATATATATATATATATATATATATATATATATATATATGTATGTATACATATATATATATATATATTTTTTTTTAATTTCTTGGTTATATAGATAAAATTTTTTGATTGTTTTACTGTTAAAAAAATTTACCGTCCAAGTTATAATTTTTTATTATTTGATATTTTGTAATTACATCAGAACAAAACAAGATCATCAAAAACTTATTACATCTTCAATATTTTATCTTTACTTTTTATTAAGAAGCGACCGTTTGTTTAAAGTTATTCTCCGCGGAGCTTAATTTTGGTATTTTAAGAGCAAAAATTTTTTCAAATAATAGTATTGTTAACTTTTTTAGAGATAGGAAAGATTTATTATCATTGTTTTTTTTTGTTTTTTTATGGTTGAGATAATCAATTTTTACTTAAGTATAGTTCTTGAAGATACAATTTTATTTAATTTTTTGTTTTAATTATTTTTTTGTTATTTTAAGTTTTATTGAGTTCCATTAAAAAAAAGCTCATCTTAGAAACCTGGTTTTCTAAGATGAGATAATTGGTTGTAAAATAGTCTTATATACATTAGTTTCACTTACAGACAATACTAGTTGAACATATTTACATTTTGCCAAAAAATTTTCGAAAAGCAATTTTTAACTTTTTTCAACGTTAAAAGTTATTTTTATTTCTCTTTGAGTCTCTTTTTTCATTTACCTTATTATGACACAATTGTTAAGGTACATCAACTATTGCTTGGCAACTACTGTTTCAATGTTTTATCACTATCCGGCTATCGTTTGAAAATAAGTTACTAATCATCTTTTGATCAGACAAACATAATATTTATAAGTAAATAAAGCTAGAACGAAAGAAATTTATGTTTTGTAATCGTCTGTGCTTTTTTTGCTTGATCCATCGAAAACAAGAGTTTTCGATGGATTAAGTATTTTCCTCCAATATTTTTCCTTAAAATAGGATAGTGTTACCAGTTTTAAAACAAGTTATCAGTGACGGATCCAGCTATTTATAGCGAGATGGGTGGGGGTTTGAATGTTTAATATTTTTGTATTCTGTATCATATTTGCGTCTTTAAAAAAAGAAAAACGTCCTTCATTTGTAAGTTATTTAAGGACTTTAAGATTCTGATGAGGGTGGGTGGTGGGGTGGTTGGGGGTGGTATGCATACCTATCCCCCCTTGGATCCGTCACTGGTTCCGAAGCCTTAATATATGAAGGCCTCAACGGAAGAACAATCAGAGTCACAAATTTGATTTTTTTAAGTTATTGTCCTTTTATTGTAGCTCTGGACTCATACTTTGTCTGCCTGAAGTGACTAATTAAAAAACGATTGGAGTCTTGAGTTATTGGAATTTTTAAAAACACCAAACACTGGTAGAACGATCAGAGTCCAATGTTTACAGCGACAAAACAATCAAACTAGTTATCAGCTGGCTTTTTTTCTATCACATGACATGTGCGAGCCAATCCCGCGCTATTTTTGTTAGATGTTTGCTTTAAAGATGGCGGAAAGCAGCACTGATCGCCCGATCGTTAGTGACAAACCAAAGAAAAGAAAAAAGAATTTTATTCATAAAGAACAGCTAAAACTTCAATGCATATCAAGTCATAAGAGAGGGGGAGATTTCAAGTGCAAGATAAAATGTTTTGAAAAAATTATTGATGAAGAATAAGACGGTCTACTCAATTTAATTTGATTAGTATCAAAGATGCGCAAGACTCGCACCTTTCTTTGTTCAGGTAAAGAATCTTTTTTCTACCCATCTCGAACAACAATAAGTAATACAAGACCTTTGGTTATTGTTCCATTGCATAATAAATTGACTTCAGTATTTGTAAGTCTTAGTTTTTTTCTAGAATGCTGTATTAAACCAGCCATTTTTTCGAGCCATGCAAAAATGTTGAAATGTTTTAACTTTCTCTCTCTCGCTCTCTCTTTTTAAAATGCTATTCATGCTTGGAATAAGAAAAAGTTTGTTGTAAAAAAGGGTGCTGGTGATGTGTGCTCCATGCTTTATCACTTTATAGAGACATACTTCCTGCAAGTAGTGACAAGACTTGCTTTGTTTTGTTATGGGTTAAAAGAGTTATACTCTCTTTATATTTATTCACTGGTCACTCATACCTTGAATGTGACCGTGACATGGTCCTTAGATTTATGCATTGGTTGGTAAACACAAAAAAGCGATTTAAGCGCATCTCAATCCGGTTTCCAATTCGTGGTCACTCATACCTTGAATGTGACCGTGAAATGGCCCTTATCAAAGAGTCAACAGATCTTCCCACCATCTGGATCTTCCCACCATTTGGATCTTCCCGTGCATTCCTGAAAACTTGAACCCACTGGTTCAAGTGTTCAGGAATGCACGCGTCAAGCCGTCTTCCTTTACAGTGATTTCCTGCGACCAGAATATGTTCAAGGCATTTAAAGATTTCCAAAAGCCAGGCTACAAAACATCTTGGTAACCAATTAAAAATGTTTGGTAATCAATTAAAAAAACCTGTTATGAGAATAAGTCTATAGGAACTAACCTGTCAAATATTTTGGCATGTATTGGTGTGATGCAACGGAAAAACGATCAAAGTCCAAACAGCAGTTCTCCTTTTACAGAATCAATTTCAAACATATAAACCGATATTTTCACATAAAACTTTGAATTGCTATATTGAGAAATAAATGTTTTATAAAATAAAATGATTTTTGGGGTAGTTTTAATTCGTTGAACTACATGATGGTGTTTTAAATCTTAAAAATTGATTTTCTCAAAACAGCAAAAGTGTGACTCTGATCGTTCTTCCGTTGAGGCCTTCATATATAAATCAATTAATCGAATAATATTTTATTGACAAGCTCGAGGCCCAATATAATAATAAAAAACAATAAACATAAAACAAAAAAATGTATATGTATTTTTTAACATCATTTTTAACATCAATTTGAAGCTATCATTTTTAACATCAATTTGAAGCCTGATCTTAAAACTGCTAATTTTGGAGTTGATTGGTTTTCAAGAAAGATTGGAAATAAAATTTATTCTTAGAAGACAAAGGTTAGATGACTCATCAAGTACATTACTTTTTCTAAGTATAGGTATAGGTAAATCTAGATTATTGCGATAACAAATAGCTATAAAAAATCGAGTTTTATCTGAGTTTCGACAGCCACTAGAAGCCTTATGCTGTAGCATGAGATCCTTTTTAAGCTGAAATACTCTCTCCTAGCAATCAGGGTTTTCCGTCTCTAAGTCTCTAAGCAATCAAAGTTTTCCGTCACTAAGACTCCAAGCAATCAGAGTTTTCTGTCTCTTAGTCTCTAAACAATCAGAGTTAAATAAGAAAGTTTCTGGAAGATTGTTGACAAAAAACGTGGATAGAACCTTGAGGAACCCCTGAAGTTGCAGGATATGAAGCTAAGTGCTAAGGACAACCTATACTACGACTGGTAAGGAAGGATTCAATAATATTAAAAACGTCTATTAAAAATATTAAAAAAAATAATATTAAAAAAATGTTGAAATTTCTTTACTCATTGCGGATTTATTGTGAAACCGCAATCCAAACCTTAGTAAAATAATTTTGTGATGGCAAAAAATAATAATAAAAATAATTATATTTCCATATTGTAACTATCTAACACTTAATTTAAAATCAAAGAGTTTAAATTAAGATTAAAAGTTAAGATTAAAAATTAAGATACCAGAAGTTAAGTTGCATTTTAGTAGAGCAGTGCGGGGCACATTAGGACACTATTAACTCTTTAAAAAAAAGCAAACTTGTGCTACTTCAAGTAAACAATAGTTGCTTTTTAACCTGAAAAACAAAGCTACTCATTGTCCAAAACTACCCCACAAGAAGGGGTAGATTTGAAAATTGTTGGGACAGGTTAGGAAATATAATAAAAATACAAGAAATGTTTCTGTTTTTTGGATTAGGAGTCATTATTTATAAGGAAAAAATCATTTACAGTGGAATGTGGAAAAATCAATTTTGATTCGTCATACCAGAACCAATCGACATGCTTTCTGCATAGTTTGGCTTAGAAAGTTTTGTAAAGGCTTCAGCAACTGGCACTGTTGGCATTTACTGATATACAACTTTACTTAAGTTGTATATCAGAAAAGATATAAAGCCCTACTATCTTCTACAAATTAACAACAAAAAAATTTGCATTTATTTTTTCAATTCTGCAAAAAAAATCTAACCTTTAGTTAACAGATGATGCACATTGGGCTAAACAAAAATCTCCAGTATTTAATGTTTCTGTTATTAACTTTTCTGTATATATAACAGGCTTGTCTTTAAATTTTTTGGCATATTTAATTTTACAAAAAAAGAACTATTTTTATCGTGCAAAACGGTAGAGCTAGACAATCCTGTAGTAAATAAGTTTTTTTACTTTTGTTGTTACGCTTGTTAATTTTCGGTAAGTTAAAGATTCTGTTTTTGGTGGTCTTTCTGGTGTGTCTGTTAAAACTCCTTCCTTTTTTTCTGCCTCTCATTTTTTTCTTACTTGGAGGT